AACACCATTGCTCTTCAGTACTTTGGAGAGGTCCCTAACAGCAGACTTTCCCATCGCAATACGTCTTTTAATTTCCTGGCTGCTAGTGCCCAGAGTGATGACTGTGGAGTCAAGCAAATGAAAGCTGTGAACAATCTCAATCTCTTCACCATCCATCCTGATGCTACTAATTGGTCCAGTGGTGAGAATCTGTCTTCTTGACATTGAGCCTCAATGCATTTTAAAGGCTGCAGTCCTTGACCCTCTGCAGCAAGCACTCCAGGTCCTCCTCAGTTTCAGCAAGCAGGGTTGTGTCATCTGCATAACACAAAATGTTGATAGATCTTCCACCAATCCTGATGCCATATTTCTCCTCATAGAGCCCAGTATCCCAGATAATCTGTTCTGCATACAGGTTGAAAAGGTATGGAGACAGGACACATCCTTGGCGTATCTCTTGATTATAGTGTAACACAAACGTCTTGTTGTTAAGAACCATCAAGTTAGTTCAGACTCACAGTGGTACTATCATTAGACAAGAAAAAGAAATCCACAATAAAATTATGGTTCATAGTTTTACATCAGTGTGTTTGTGCTTAGCTTGATTTCTGGCCCTACTGTTTTATAAATGTCTTCTGGTAAATCATCGTAAGCAATTATTTGAGAATTCTGCATAACTGTTTTTGTTATTATGTGTCATCAAGTCACTTGCAAACCATAATTACCCTGTGTGCAACAGCCCTGAATCTTGCTCTATCCTGAGTTACTTTCACTGTCTCTGACACATCTACCCCCATTTCCCCAGTCACTGAGTGAAAACCATCTCATCAAGGGTCTTCCTCTTTTGAACTGTCCCTCCATCCTCCCAAGCATGATTCTCCTCTCCAAGGACTGATTCCTCATTGCAACATGTCCAAAATAGGTCAGATGAAGCCTCAGAATCCTTGTCTCCAAGGAGCAGTCTGGTTTCACCCTCTCCAGGATTAAACAGTTTGTTCTCTTGGCAGTCCATGGTATAATCAATACTGTTCTCCTGCACCACAATTTAAAGGTAACTCAAAAGTTTGAGAGATGTTGTAAAAAGGGTTGCTATGAGTCTCATGCAACTCAACGGCACATAACAACAACAAAAGTGTTGTTGCTGCTTTTCCTCGCTACCCGCACAAGGGTCCATACGGCGTTGTTCTGGTTCCCGTCGTAACTTAAAAGGGAAACTTCCACAATGTCCGGAGCCCTTGATG